TTTTACTCAGTAGTGTATTTCCGGCTTAATGAATCACCTGGTAGAAACTTCCCTCATATTTCTGCCGGAGGATTGTTACAGTTCGTTGTTACTGTCCTCAGGTTCATCATCACCAGTTTTATCAGTGGGCTTGCTAATCGCAAGCAGGTGAAAAAAATTTTCATTGTAATTTTATATTATTTGTGAGCCACTTCATTAAGCATTATTTCTTTGTCTGACAACGGACATCAGTGCAGTTCTATTGGTCACTGAACCAGGATTGTCCATATCCATGGGACTGTCAATGTGAGCTACGGTTAAGGCAAGCCTGGTTGTGGTTGCTAGGCCATTAATGAAATACAATCCAGTCACCAAAGCTCACCCTCATAACTGTGACCCGATCACCTTGAGAACATTTGTTCTTCGAATAAATTGGTCGGAATACATCGCAAGCCCCCAACCCGTCCCCGGTCGTGGTTACCATGGTAAAATTAGGTGTTTGAGCCATTGCTAATATAGGAGTCAACACAACCGGCCTTGGCTTGAACTGCAGCTCACATCAAACAGTGCATCACCATGTCTGTTCATCGATTTAGGTACGGGTTCACGCAAATCGTTCGGCTTCACCGACCCACGGAACCGATCGCCATCAGCGAGCCCGACAAGATTCACTACTAAGGTCTGCTTCTTTTCAACTCAGAAAGACGAACAGGTGGTCAATCAACGGACAGAAAAATAGGGAGATCAACTGACCACGAGGAATACTGAACGAAGTCGGATTTAACCAAGGCGTTTCATTCTGAAATTAAAGTTTTCGAAATTCATATGAGAATTTTCCAATTTGCAATGTAATATGCGTCCATTCCAAAGGGGAAATTCGTCATGTATGTGGCAAATGAAGCGTGAACTGAAAAGCCGGGAAGCACTGTATAGCTGTTTCTACCTGGCGAAGTCTCATCAGCAGTGCGAATCCATCGACGCACCTGGGGATCGAATCCGGGACCTCATTTGTCACATACACGATGAATTTTCCCTTTGAAATGGAATCAAATCCCCTATTACTCTCATATGCCCATTTGTTTGAAAGGTAGTACTTTGGGGAAGATGAAAACCGAACGACTAAAGGTGTCTGTAGACCGGTCTACATATCTAAAGTTCGAGTGACAGTTTTCTGTGTGATGCGACGGCATAGGTATAGTGTACGTCGAAATCACAGGGATCCTGGAATTGGTTTACCGAGACTTTTTCATTAGGACATCATAAAGGTCATTCTTTGTTCGGTGATCTGTTAAGCCATGGCAGATAAGTAAAAAAACATACAACGAACGAGTTAACCTGAACATACTATTTCCGATTGTCTCCAGATGCACAGAAACGGTGCACTATTGATCTCAGTTGAGTATAGCCTTCAACACGTCAACACACACTTCCCGCGCCTAAGTTTGTGTAAGCTTGCAGTATTCGTATTTTCCCACTGTGTTCAATGCAGTCTCAGGTTCCACCAAAAAGAAATGTAGACCTCGACATTTCGATATGCCGTCCCACAGGTTCTTCGTAAGAGAGATTCCAAAGAGTCAGCACTGCATTCCACAAAACACACGACCACAGCTTCGCGTGTATAGTGCGGTGCTGACGTGGTGAAAAGAAGCTAACTCATCAACTCAGATTGTGATAAATGACAAAAGATACGTTCAACGGCCATTGCACTACGGTTGTCGGCCAGAGCTATGCACACCGGCTGTGAGAAACCAACCTCAGGTCGTAATTTATCGCGTTTTTCAGCATGCTACCCATTTTTAAATCATATTATTAGTATCGGATCAACCTGGAGGTAAACTTCCGCCTACTGATGCGCCCAACGCTCACTGCTTTCGGGCTACAGTAACCCCCCCGCTGAATTCGATCCGGTAACGCGGCTCGTCGAGGCATCATTTATGGTGGGAGAACTAATCTAACGTATATTTCCTCTTCCCTATCCCAGGGTGCTCTATTAGAAACGGATAGGACAACTTGACGCTTTATTCTCCTGCGCAGGACACCCGGGTCTTGCATAGATAAGTTTAACAGTGAATAGGTTTTCGTACTGTCGTTTCACCTTATCGTGGAACTCCAGCAAAACGCAGTAGTTAGACCTCAAAGAGGATCTGTTCCCACGGATTACTCTCTCTTCAGGGTTCTGAATTCCACGCCCAATATGCAACTGGGCAGTGCCAGTGTTTTCAAGGCTGAGTGGTCCAGAACAATGTGGCCTTGCCCTGGGATGTTGAGGGCACATCTCCTGGTGGTATGAGGTGCACCATATTGCGTCCAATGTTTTAATCGGTCTCCAGTATCATAAAATGCGCATTAAACCTGTAAATTGTCATTAGTAATGGCTTATTTAAAGCATGAAAACTGATACCTCCGATTACCAAAACAGCAGAGTTGTGGCCATTGCTAAAGAAAACAACTACGGATAACCAAGACCAAAGTGGTTTCCTCTCCTTAACTGCTATTTGGACAAGCATCCCCTATACAAATTGAAGCCAAACCAGATGCATACACAAATGTGCATGCCGTTTTGCCTTCCCCCTACTACCATACAGGCCATATGATAGCAATGGAGTTCTGGAAGACCCGAAAATTGCATGCTGAGACGGGGGTGTTGATTCAACCTCTTGTGTGAAGTACACTGAAGATAAAGTAAGTCGATTGCCTGCTGGCTTGTCTATAACGAGACCGCATACAGGGGCTACCACATTGCGAACCTTCTTCCTTCATTGCCAAGAGGCACGCTGGAAAAGCTTTGGAACCAGTTGAATATACTTTATAGCCGAAGCATGCAGAAATTCAGCTACTGAGTGAAGTATTTCACTCCCCAGGGTTCGATCTCTTGATTGTATTTTTTTAGTCACCGAGTCTGGTACAGTTTGGGTTCTGGTGCACTATTATAGTCAAGTGCGTAGAGTAAAGCAACACAGAGGGCGATTTGGGTCAAAGGTAGCATGTGGTTTATCTATCAACCACGCTCGAAACATAAAAATGACAATCTCCTCCAACTAGAAAACTGTTTAGACCGACAAGACAACCATTAAGTATCACCGTTATAGCTCTCTCAAGTTCGCATCCGCTTAGCATCGCAAGCAATCGCGCTAGGTATACTGCGAACCGACCTGGTGAGTTGATGACCAAGAAATTTTTTCCAGCCGCACTGCTCAAATTATTTTGATAATGGAAACCAGCTGAGGATAAAAGAAAGCCGTGGATGACGTCAGTGTAACAACCCCTCAGAACTCGAAGACACGCCCAAACTAATCAGTTGATACAAGGCAGCTGACGAGTATCCCTGGCATGTAGCTAGACACAGAAGTTCTTTGACCACAACCTTGCCTTTGCCTGAGCAACCGGACTGTATTCCGCCCACATGCAAGTCATGGAATCTTTTTCCTTCGATAAATACTATTGTACCTTGATTTCTTTGGCACATAGTTTGGTCTAAGACGTGCGTGAACTTATATATATATATATATATGCCTTACGCGGTACCTGAGGAACGACCGCAAGTAGTACTTGACAATAACGAAGGTAATTTTCCTAACAATCAGAATGATCAACAAACATCCAAAGATGACTAAGACTCTGTGCATTACCTGCAAATGTGGACTGGACTAAAACATCGACAAAACAGCTGAATAAAGTGATAGTCGTGCATCATTCGGCTGATACCTGGAGAGCTACAGAGTTGCTAGACAAGACAAATCTGAATACCAGAAATTGAGTTAACGAAGCTCAATAATCCCTTACGGTTGAATGCAATTCCTGTTATTCGTTAGGATGTCAGTTCGCATTTAAAAAGAAGACAAAATGGTAGCTCTTTGGTGCTTCATGTAAATAAGTGGGGATAATAGGCAACCTTCCTCGCGTGACGCTGATTGGTGCAGTGCGGGAAACCATTATGCCATTAACCACAAGGACTGTGACTATTCAACTGAGTTAATTTTAGAAGTACTATTCAGTACTGACACAATAACATTTACTCTAATCACGTGATGGGCATTGGTGTATGGAACATTGCACCAAACCCACAACGAAGTTATTGAGTTTCCCTGTTTGGAAAGTAGTCCAAATGAAATATTCAGAAGTCAGTAGTCATCCGACAGAAATCGGGATAGTTTTTTTCTAGAAAGCAACTCATGTTAGCATGACACTATTTCACCGAAAAATGGCAAGTGATAAATTCTGGACAGCACTTCATGTTGGATCCGGGGGCTCGAATGTATATAGAGGTTCCACAACGCAAATACAATGCTCAGGCGATTTTAGCCACAAATTTGAGCAGATTCCAGATTCCTGGTCGGTTCGATACTCCAGGACTTGGAGTGCCGGTAGCTGTGACGACACAGTTCACTTAGTCCTATGTCTGCAACTTAATGCTATGTAAAAAGATAGACAAACAGTTTCCTCTCTTTGACTAACACAAAAATTGGGGGAAAACCGGAACAGCCCCGTAACCGAAAACCCACAAAAGGACCGTGCTAGGACAGTAAATATTTTTAACGTCCAAACACCATGCCACATATAGACAATTTCTTCAAAATTTATGACGGTTTATTGCAATATTCCACTTTTTCATTCTGTTCGTCCCTGATTGGTATATTTCTCCAAAAAGAAACAAACGAAACAAAAATCACAGGAGTCCACACACCAACCAATAAATTAGTCAAGACAAGTCACCAAAGGCAGAGAGTGAGAGCAAGAGATGACAAAACGGTGGGAATCGTTGGAGATCAGTCGTAAGATGACAAATCCTGGAACTACCAATATGACAGCACCAATAGAGCAATGTAGTTTGTGGTCCAGTCCTGTGTTCTTTGACCGATGGAAATCACGAATACTGAGCACAACTGAAATGATGGTTATATGGAGATGTAGAGCAGAAAGGAACACAATACGCTCCAGATGAGACACGGAATGGGCAGTAGGTTTATGCGTTCGTTTGCAGATAGTTACGCAAGAAAATGATCACAAGATGAGGCGAACGATCACTGGTTTTTCTTTTCTTGAGGGTTGGTTCCCGGGTAAGGTGGTGGCTGGCTTGATTCCGCTCCCGGGGCAGACGGATAGGGTGGCGGCAGATCTCCTGGAGGTACGTAAACGTTGTGTGGATCTTCGCGGAAGTAGTAACCACCGGTGACTGCATTCGAGGCTGATGCAGCTGCTTCCGCTGCTTTCGCTAATGAGGTTAAAACAATTAAGAAGGTTCTCCTGAATTTATTTGCATAACGGATTTAGTACATTAAGCATACACTACTACTAAGAGAGAAACAATACGAAAAGTGAAAACGATTCAATGATTTAAAGAATTCGTTTGTGATTCACGCATTGATAAAAGTAACAAAAGTGTTGTAAAAACCATTTTTTTGCTAGTTATCAGGAACGCTTACGAATCTGATCCGCTGTACTAAACACCAGCCCCAATTGGATTGCGGACTCCAAGCTCCGCCCCACTGTTTCGCAGGTCTGGCTTTCTAGCCAAGGGATTCGGGTAGAGACCCCGAGGTTACCTTCCTTCCTCGGCCAGGGCAACCGGGAAGAAACTTGCCTGCGCAACCTGTGAACATATTCTCCAGAATTTTTCTTCCTATGTTGCGGCACATTTGCCAGTTCTATGTAATTGGTTACATCAATAGTTTTAGGGATGGTTCTATCAAACACCTGGGCGGAATAAACCGTAGAGAGGATGAAACTCGTCCTCACGAGGACGAAGTGTTTCCCCACGGAAGTCAGCAATCTGAAGGGGCAAAGTAATGAAATTTCGGTCGAGCCAAGTGTTAGCTCTATGCTCCTAAATAGGTCAATATCGCGCACAGGTGTGATACCAAAGTTAATCAATAAATTCGGATGACAATGGAAGCAGTATTGGAGCCTCGGACTTTCTGGACTGGTAGAATTGTGTTCTTTACTCCGTTTTGTCATTTTTTTATCATCATCGTTATCAAGGAGTGGTATCTGCAGCTCCCTCGTCGGGTTCACGTGAATACGATAAATTATCCATATGGTGCCTAACTCTCTCTCTGTTTTATTGTTATTTTAAACTATTCTCCTGAAAACCTGTAACATAGTCTCCTACTGTTTTATGACAACTTCCACGTTCTAAGCTATTTTTCCCGAACTATCTTACTCTCAAATAGAACCAATATACTAGGCTACTTCAGGCACACTCATAACCACACATGCGTGTACGACATCCGAAATTAGCATTTGTTTTACTGATCGAAACTGGGGCACACGTTGCAGGTAGTCTAAAGCCACCATGAGTCTTACCTAGTTTTTTTATTACACACCAGTGGGTGATGAACAGCAGTCAGGGTGGACCCCATAAACACGAAGACCTGCTGTTCAGTGATGGTAACCGGCAACATAAGCCCTGAGGCTTGGAGTAGTGAACCACATAAGGCTTCGATAAGTCAGGCGTGCTATAGTACCGGGCAACAGTAAAGCTGCCTACCACCAAAGTTGGGTGGCGAGGCTCAAACCTCTGCACCACCACCACTACCTGCCATTCACAGAAATGACGGAGCGTGAGCCCCATAAGTCAAAGTCCAACAGTCTACAGTTAATGGCGGAGATGTGAAAAGGTTAGTTTATACTCAATTTGCTCAGCTAGGGGATTCTAAATAATGCACGCGGAATATCAATGACAAATTAGCTAGGAAAACAGAAAAGTCAATAGTTAATTATACAAAGAGCCAATGAGAACATTGACCGAAATGATAACGAATAACCGTACGACTTACCTGCATGTGCTGCAGACATGGGCGCATCTGAACTATTCACATTTCCTCCGACTGCCCCAGAGCCATCATACACTGCGCTTGGTGGAGGAGGATAGCCGGCAGCTTGTGGATATGGTGGGGCACTCGGCCATGAGTTCGCAGTTTGCGGCGCTGCCCCTGGGTACGGAGGTGGGGCTCCCACATGATACAACGAAGAAGCTGCAAAGGGGAGTAGAAGTAGAGGGACAATTACAAATGTGTGAGAAACTTTTATTCTGACGAGCCTGTTCTATCCAAATCAAAAATACTGTAGACTTGTTCTTCATTATGCATGTGCTTGTTAACCCGTTACGTTTTCCACGAGATAGATTACACGCATGAAAGACTGTAAACAAGAAAGTTGACTGATGCTTATCGAACCTCAATTAGTGTAATTTGGTAGCATATTTCTCGCCGAGTTCGGTAATTACAATGCAAACTTTTTATCACCAACCGGGGAGATATTTTCAACGCAGCAATGACTGCTATGGTAATTAGTAGTGAGACTAACGCAAATAACAAGCTAAAGGGAATCGTGTGAACAGAGTTTTGGCGGATAAGTTGTGCACATTATTGGAGTCTAACGGGCAGTGAAAAACAAAGACTAGAGACTATTCAAAGTTTATTATGATCCCAGTAAAGTGGTCCGTGAACTTTGATCAACAGAGTTAGATAGATAACAAAAACGGTAAGACGCAATAGATCACAAGCAATTTAAATAAGCAAAATACAAATTGCACGCAACTGAACATAGCAACAGCCATTCGTATACTCGAAAAAAAATGTTGACCAAACTTTAGCATCGTCATTAGGAGCGCATACGTTCGTGAGCATAGGGTACTGCACAAAATAGGGCAGGTGAGAGATCGTAAATTCCAAACAACTGAGGTTTATTGATCGAAACATAGAGAAACTCAGGAAGTGGAGTGAATTGGCCTTCAGGCTAACACAATTGATTAATGCCGGAATTGAATAAACGATAATATTCAGAATCAGCTGACTGAAACACAAGTCGAAGAGCTAGCAAGACACAGAGCTCCGTTCGCTGGTGTGCAAGCGTTAAGTGTGATTAACATGCATTAGAGACAAGAATCAGATGGAATGAACAATCGGGATGGTCGCTCCACAGAAAACACATTTTCCGGTGAATTCGTGCAATTATAGCTGGGGAACAATAAGCTAAACAAATACGGATGACAGTGTATGATAAAGATCGACAATGACGCTAATGGAGTAGATTTCTAATGTGACCAACCAGCTGGATAATACCCAGTGCGACATATTCATGCAGGAAGTTTCAAGTGGAAAAAATGAGCCAAGTGCTACAATTAAATATTGAACCGAATTATACACAAGATTGAAAATTAGAGAATAATCCGGGAAAATAGCACCTGACACCTACAGTACATTTTGGGGTTCAACACCAGGAACAGTAAAGCAAGGCTGACTGCTTTATATATCACATGATACGCACGTCTCTGAATCATGTCACCCAGAACATTGCTGCAACATACACGAACAATCAACTGTTGCGACGGCACCAACGATGTATCAAACTGGCGAAAAAGACCCCAGTCTTTTGCGTGGATACCGACAGCTGCTAGGGGGGTTTGTGGCTGGGAGAGAGCTAGCTGCCTAACTAGCGAGATTCGGTTACTGTACTGCAGAATTGCCTCCCCAATGAAAGTGAGACTGTGAGCTGGACCAACTCAACCATGTAACACCGGAGTAGGGTGACCCCATTCCAGCTTCAAGGAAAAGAGTAAAAGACACTCCCTAACATTGAATGGTTCAGTAGCTCCAAAATATTTGGTTAGCTAATCTCTCGAGAAACCTGCGTTTCAGACGGCAAATGGATTGAAATGATGCATTCGAGCGAAGATTCGCTGGAGACAAGTTCAACCGCTGAGATTAGGTTACTTTTGGAAAGCTGGGTTGTTGGCATCTGTAGCTAGTTGAAGTTCTGCTTCAAATATTATACATAACATTCCAGTCAGCCTATTAGAATGTGGATCGTTTCTCTAACAAATTCGCACATGAGCACAATAACCATTGTTCAAATTCTGGGGATAGCTCATAGCAGCTGCTTGCTCAATGTAAGTAGCGCGTTGAACTTCACTAGTCACGATCTGCTTCTAAGCGGCAGTTGAGATTTGATTGTATTTGCTTGTGAGGACTGCGCCATGAGCAGTGCATGGTAAAAGGATTTGGAGTGCAACTTGGAGTTCTAGAGAACATACAGAAATCTAGAACGGTAAAACCGCATACTGCGATGGCGGGGGTAAAGGGGCTTTGAAAAACCGGCCAACGTACACTGATGACAAAATGGTCGGAATGTCACACTGTCCAGTGTTTTTCAAAATTACTTAGCATTCAGATCCGCATTTACTATTATTAACTTTGCACTATCGTGCGACGGTTTTGTTTGCTGTCTCTGGTGACTCATTTGGTGGACTGAAAAGGTAGGAGTGAATCGATGAGCTTAAAGCGAAGTGTCCTATGAAAACAGACTAGATCTGCACTGAAAACAACAGATGCACGAGTGCTCCTGTCTAGGACACTCAGGGTACCAAACTATCTATGAAACTGTTTTCTACTTCCTCTATCGGGAACTCCATTTCGGTCCATTTTTGCTAGTCCTCTGGTCAGTGGTTTTATAACTTCGCATCCGGTTTTAGTTCGACCGTTTTTAGTGCTCTTCCGTCCAGTATCTGGTGAGGCAGGCATGAAGCGCCGAGGAAGTCTATCCGTTTTAGACGGATTTGGTGTGGTTACTTGGCAGAAGCAGGTTATCATTATCATCGTACAGCGAGATACAGTGAAGCGAACTTCATTGATCACTGACAAGCGGAGCTTTATGAACGAGTACTGACAGGCTGTCCAGCCACTAAACAGGAGAACGATTAGGGTTCTCAACCAAAGTCTTTAGATCTGACAAGAACCTAACCGCAAGGCAGCGGTTAAGGTGGATTGGAGGCCCATTTACTTGGATCAATTACTCCTCCAAAACATTTTACCGACTTAGACGCCAACTCAAGTCGAACCTCCAACCTAGGGGACCAGGATACTGGACTTTATTCGGCCGTCCAGGCATGATTAGATCTTTGGCTCGACAAATGCCATCCTGTATAGCTCATTGGGTAACAAGTGCGCAAGAAATCACACCTTGTCAAGGTGCAGTCTCGTCGTGACGGTGGGAACTGGTTGGTACCGTTGGTCCGTATCATGTCATTCAAGAATGCTATACAAGAGTGCTTGCCGAGGAAGATCTTCGGACACCATGCTGGCAACGAGATAGTTCAAAATCAGTATTTTTGATGAATGTATGGGTTATCGGAAGATGGCACCCACGATCAAATTTATGGGACCAGTTGTTAAGCTCGCAGTAGGTTCCACGCTTGTCTTTAAACAATCTACCAACTGGTGTTTCCATAACGCGTCAAAAGAATCATGACGATGTGGTATTATTTTCCGGATGATAATTGTAGGTTGTTCGTAAGTCGTAACTTTGACTACATTAGAATTACAACCGTTTTAAACCTGGGCAAGTAACGAGGACAGGCATGGTGCAAACGCAACATAAACGTAACATAAACGGTGGGTTTACGTACAGATCAATAAAATAAAAATGAGGAGAAACGGAATACGGACACAAAGAACAGACATTTTATCAATTTAACGCACACATTTTGATATTTTTTGTCCATTAAGAGGTTTCAACAAATATACCAAACAATTATCACGCCACTGACTTCTATTCTCAGCAACTCTGACCATCGGCAATCCTCCTCTCTTAAGGCTCAATCTAGAAAGCGAACTGCTCCGACCGAAACCAATGCTGAGGTTAACTTGACCATACGTATGTGCACGGTACGACCGCTGCCCAGCTTCTTCCTGCCTTGTTCAGCACATGCAAAGAGAGCACAGAGACATTACCGATAGACAGGCATACGCGGAACATGGTTGANCTTTTAGAACACGACTATTAGCACCCAACATACGACGAACGATGCATCGAAGGCATCGGTGGTGTAATACAGAGAGTCGACTAGCATCCTCAGGTCAGATCTCGCAACCGTTGAGCAGAACATCACGAACCACAGTGATGAACACCCTACCCTAAAGGACAGTCGTGTTATGGCCGCGCCACAAGTGTCGCAGGTGGGAAAAGCTTTCGTTATTCGTGATGTGGTCTCTGCCTTAACGCAACCTCCAGCTGCTAACAAGCTCCCGAGGTACTCGAAGCTCTGGAGTACACCTCTTCCTTTATCTGTAGACAAATAAAAGAAGCAGCGTTCGATGAGTCTACTTGAAGATGCTCTCATCGGTCACCCGAGGTGGACGGCGCAGAGTCGACTGTCCACCGGAAACCGGTGGTTAGAATCCTTACTTTACGGTGGCTGGTTCCTAGAAGGGGATAAGCCCGCTTCATAGATATCCCTAATTACAGCTGCCCACACCCAGTGGCAAGATCTAAGCAGATTAGGATCCATTTTTACTTCATTTGACGATTGTCGTAGATGGAGCGAAGAGCAATGCTTTCTGCATTCTTTCGGACCATGCCCAGCCACGTTTTCAGTTGTCCAACGCGTCGAGAGCGCCAGTTTGGGCAGGGAGACGGTGCTAAGGGAACTTTGGTCAAGTTGCTGTTAGAATTGCGAAGTATGAGACAAATCATTGTAGTCATCATCGCTGTATTAGCGTCCGAAGCCGGTTTCTGATCCTTCAATCGTACTCCCTGAATGATTTCTAGACATCAATGATAGAAGACTTCTAATCGTTGATAGTCTTCGACTCTAAGTGGCCAAGTTTAACAGCAAGACAGGACAAGTTATTGCGGAGAAAACTCATATTTTTGTCTTTCGGCTGATTTCGTCATAGAGGATTCTTCAGCCATAGAAACACCTTTTTTGCACCATCGACGAGCAACTGTACCTCGTTTTTAGTTTGACCGCTGGGCAGTATGGTTGAGCCTAAATATATCAAGTTTTCGAAGGAATCGATCGACTCACCGTTTAGTTGTAAAACACCTTCGGTATGAATCGACTGTCGTAAACGTTTTGGTTTTTGGTGGGTTCACCTCTAGGCCGATTTTGGAGGCCTGTCGACTGATGCGGTCAACGATTACTTGGAGGTTGGGCATTTTCTTACACAAGACGACAATATCGTTAACGAAGTCCACATCGGTTAACCAGAAGTTCAGAGATATATGAACTCCCTGGTATCCTTCCATCGTATGACCCATTATCCGGTCAACGACAAAGTTTAACAGCTTTAGGGACAATGGGCACCCCTGTAGTACTCCAAATCTAAACTCGCGCGTGACCCCTCAGAGTAGATGCAGATTCAAGCACTAGTAAGATCTCATGCGGTGAACAATTTTTACTGGGACACCGTCGGACGGCAATATGTTCCAGAGGATTCGCGATCTGCGGAATAGAAAGTCGCACAAAAAGCAATGGAAATAGACCGCCGTGAGTTATTGAAACTCGTGGTGATGTTCTATGAGGCGATAAAAGGTGAAAATTGAGTCCACACAGTCTACACTGGGGCGGAATCCCCTCCGGTTAGGGCGGGTGCGCGCGTGTTTTGTTTTAGCGGTGTTCAGCAAAAGCTGTGCAAAAACCTTGGCTGCAACATCAAGTAAATTGATGCCTCTGTAGTTTTCGCACACTGAATTGTTCCCCTTTTCGTGAAAGGTTGTAAAATCGATGTGGTTTAGTCTATTGGGCAAGTTTCAGTTTCCCAACTTGCACATAGGAAGCCACAGAGCAGGTTTAAAATAGGTAGGGAGCTGTGCATAGATTTCCGCGGCTATCCCATCCTCACGGGGAAACTTCCGCGGACTGAGGTGGTTGATGATATCTGGTGGCGGAGCGCAGCTAGCCTCGTATAGTGATGATGGCGAAGAGGAAGCATATGGAGGTTGGATTAGGTGATTGAGAAGACTAAAGTGCTCCATCTGCCGAGAGATTTTTCCTTCTGCATCGGAAATGAGCTCGCCGGAAGAGCTACGCAAGACGGGCTGAGTGACTTGTCTCTTACCCGATGCTGATCTTGTAAGTCCGAAGAGGGTCCCCGTATTGCCCAGGTTGGTAAGTATCTCCACTTTTCTTGCCATTTCATTCTAGTAGTTGCGTCTATCGTTTCTGGCCGATCGTGTTGCTTATCGTCTCAGATAGAGTAAAACGGAGGATTGAGCTAGGCGTAACTCTCTGGACGCATTAGCCAACTGGATGGTGTGGCCGGATATCTGAGTGATATTGCTCAGTGTCAAAGTGGCACTACTGCACTTCCTCATTACTTTTGCAACCCCAGTCTACATGAATGCTCTATATTCTCTTTGATTCTGCTCTCAACATTCTAATCTTCCATCAGCTCTTTTATCATAATGGGAAGTCAAAAAACAGTAACCGAAACCGCCGCAAGAAAGTGCATGGTTAATGTAGTTTAAAATTGAAATGAACCGGAAACTAGCTGAGCAATGGTTTTTCTGCACTTGTGCCATAGCAACTCTGGCATCAATTCGAGTGGTGACTTCAGGAATAGGAGCTTGAGAAATGCACAAGGAGAAAACGCCTATAGACATGTTGCGTATGCTAGGAAGCTGCCCGTCGCTGGCTATGAAACCATTTGCATTCAAGTACAAACATAGGAACTGGATATTTTCAACTGAGAGTGGAGAGTAGGCAAACGTCTGCAAACTTTGAGACCTCTTAGTCTTTCTATAGAAGACAGTGTCTACATCTTAGGAAAAAGGATGACATGGGAAAGTTTCACCGCATGAAAAGCAGATTACATACCAACGATTTACAGGTAGCTCGAAGCAAAACCCAGTTAATAATGATCACACGAACTCACGTGGTGGTGGAGTGAATGCTTCGTGTGGCTTGATAAAACCATAATAAGGATCGTTGTATGGCGGGGCATATGCTGGTGGTGGGCACGAGTAGAACTGACCGGCACCGTTCATGTCCATGGGAGTGTAGGGGGGAGGAGCACGGAAGTTTTGTTTTGCTGCACACGCGCGTTTGCCCAGATCGATAAGCGCCTGTGCAAATTCAATAGCTCCACCCCTTTTGAAAGTCATCTTGAACTCGGCCTCACCCTGTGGGAGACAGAATGGTGATAGAAATTGTTGTATGAAATGAAAAACAGTGAAAAATGAGAGAATAGCGGGTGGAAGTTCAGTGATACATGCCAAAATCAAATCTAACAGAAAAACCATTTGGTCATTTTTCTCTGGCTTATAACAGTACATTTAAACAGATTTGAATAAGTCTTATGATCTGTGTTTCAACATAACCTGGTGAACGCATTTCAAATAAGCACTATGGTGTATCTGATCGAGCATAAAAAATCATACAACGGGTTTGTATTTGTTGTCACCTTTTGGCGAGCGCTTTGTACCATCAAAAGTTAGAACATTTTAATTAGGGTTTCATGACAGATCCAACAGACAACGACAAAGGGTTGTTGAAGATGGTACTTTAAAACTATCAATTCAAGGTTCCGTTTTTATAACGCCAGCGTTTGTCTACGGCTATAATCACGATATAACAGTAAGCTTATATGAAAGAAGACAAAAGCTATCTTTGATTCCATCTGAGCTACTGTTTGTTAGAGCATACGCAGTAACAACGAACAAGCACCATTCGTTTGAATCTTCACTTTACGCGCTACGCACGAAACTTGCAGCTGCACTGCATACAGTCGGTTGTCTACTGACATTCAATCCCATAGAGCAGCCTCAGACTAGAAGCTCAAGGCAATACCAAAATACGGTTGAACTTCAGTTTCAGTTTTTACAACCAATAACCATCCACCGTTGTGCGCTGGTTTTGGTTGCTGTCTTTCACTCGCCCATTTGAATAAAAGAGCAGAATGAAGATCGGAATGTTAAGAGCAAATTCAAGGGGAAGACAGAGACTCGACATAGATTGGGGTTGCAACAATATTTAGAAGATGCACGAGCGCCACTGTTTGCGACACAGCGTCTCTACCACGGCTACCACGATCTCGGGCCCCCATCCAGGGAGCCTATCGGGACCTATATAACACAGTCTCCTGGTCAGGGTTTTCATGCCCTCGTACCAGGTTTTCGTTCAACCGCCCTTGACCTTTTTCCATCCGCTACCTGCCACGGCAAACATCGCTCGCAGCGGCAACCTACTTGGTGACATGGTGGGTTTACGTAAGCAGTGCGTGTTCTAGAATTTGAGGAAGGGTGACAATGTGGTCTATACAGCCTGGTTCTCATACGTGCACCGTTGACATGTGGCAGATAATCGAAGCAGTATAATACCAGGGAGAAGTTTAAGGATGATGTCGATTAAACTAATTGCTCTCTGGTTTTTACGACAGGATTCGTCTTTTTTCGGCACGATGACCGATTCACAGCAGTCCGTTTTAACCTGTTCTCTCTCTCTCACACACACAATGAGCCCAGGAGTTTCATTAACTCCAAAACCAAGGCTGGACCTCCATTCTTAAAAAGCGGAAGGGACAGCCCGTCAAGGCCTGAAGCTACAGGTGTTGACCCGTGAGAGACATTTCAATGCAACCTCGTTAGCGGTGGCTGACGGCGATGCGGTCGATTTGAATCCAGCGCTGTGAAGAAATGGGTGGCTTCAATGTAAGGCGATGTCGTTTCTTGTGCGAGAAGTTGATGTTTGACAGGTCTCAAGCGACTACCACGATGTCCGTTAACCGAGCAGTTAAGAGAGGTTCATGTAGAATTCATCCACCATTTCCGGCGAACTGCATCGACGCTTTGTTCTGTAGCTGTTGACCCGCACTGAACCATCTAGAGGTAAAGCGTGGTCGGCTACTAACCGGGATCCAGTTGAGGAGTGAACGCTCGGCCTCGACACTAAGCGCAATTACGATACCAGCAACACCACGAGCCTCGGATGCCGAATCGCCTTACACACGATGAGTGAAGTGTGAGGATGAGGTTGAATCAGGAGAACGCAGAGAGATGATTGAAGTAGGGTCTTGTATGCGTGTTCCGGAGACAGCATACATCTAACTTGAAAGTTTTAAGGGTTCTAGCCAGGGCAGGTTGTTGACCTATCTGATAGTGTGCGGACATTGAATGCGGCTAAGCCAAAGGGAGACTTTGGTTCAGAAAATATGATAGCTTCCCATTGGTTGACATCGCTAGTTGAACGCTGAGTGATACACCATGGGTCGCGGAAACAGGAGATATCTCCTGAGATTTGGGGGTCACAGGAAGAACTGGACTGATTGGAAAGAGGGTTTGCCAAATGAGTGCCTAAGACTCGAGTACGACACACTTCGTGGTAGCCCAAACTGACGATGTTTCTTTGAGAACCCTGATAGGAGCCTCTGACTCCGAAGCGTGACCGAAGCATCTGTGTAGGGGCTTCTAGGGACCTATCACGCAAGGTCTATTGGTTTCGGTTTAGTGTTCGCTTTTCGGGATCGACCCTTAGCCTCATGCACCCTATGAAACAGGGGGAATGTGGATGGGACACTACTTTATTGGCTGCTTGGACAGATAATGATCCCCGGAAAGACGCAAATGAGACGCTTTTTTTGGGTTTGTAGGAGAGATTAATCAGATTACTAAGTTCGGACGCTGATTGCGCGTTTCTCAGATGCAAAACACCAAACACCAGTCTTTCAAGAGGCAAGTCTGCTTGTTGTCATGCACGCATTAATTCCCTTACGTTGGGGGAAGTCAGTTTGAACAAAAGTCACATGAATGGAACGGTTAGCTCTGTATGAAAAATCAAGTAGAAAGTTGCTGAGGGTTCACAGCTACAACGAACCACATGATCAAAGAACAGCAAAACTATTCAAGATAAGGGGAACAGTGGTATAAGGAAAAATCGTAAGGAGGGTAGATGGTAGTGTTGAGCACCGTTTTTGAGAAGAGCAACTTTGGTGAGTAGGTGTCGAAATCGCAGAAATATGTAAATGCATATATACATGATTCGATTGTGGGCCGATGCTACCGAAGAGGGCGTTCTTAGAAGTCTTGCACGGAACCTACGGTTGGATAACCTAACCTTCCGGGGTGGATCAGAGTCCGCTGGAAGCCGGTGACTGACAGACCAGGTTATAAGGCTTTCAGATGCAACTAGCTATATCTAGGGCGCCTTTGGTCCGCGCACTCACCAGTGAGCGTCAGAGTGATCGAATTCCGATAGCACTGAAGATTGTAGCCATCATTACTTTGTATACCAAGTTTGGATGGTCAGGAATCAGGTTTAGCCAATTCATTTAGACTGATTACCAATGGTCAATAAACCCGAAGGAAATCGTCGGGCGTCCGCCAATGCTCTCCCACTTTGATGGAAACAAAGTGACGCGGGAGTAATGGGTAGGACTTTCTCAGCAAAAGCTGTTTGAGACGCTGGTCTTTTGGAGTTTTTCTAGGGCAGTTCGGAACGACCAACCGCCTATGAGTCAGAAAGCCATTGTGTGAACACAAGGCAAGAAATAGGTATAAATGAGAGAAAAAGACTTAAAAGGAACGATGTATTCGTGGTGTTTTCAGAAACCAGTGTTGCCAGTTGAACCTCGATGGCATATCCAGTAGGGCAGGCACATCGACCTAACTTTGACAGACAAACTTTAGGCGTACAGTGCTAAGAACGCACGTAACGACCAGTTCGAATGTACCAACAAGGCGCATCTTTTTAGTTGTAACCAACCCAAATGTCGGATCAAAGTCTCAATTACCGGAGGTGTCAAGAGCAGGTCAGTTGCATAGGACGCCGCCACATAAGCAAAAAGAGTAGTCAGCTAAGATAGAAAGGCGACAGCTTCGCGGTCGTCCGGTTGAATACCACGCCTAACCTAGCGTGGCCTTGGGTAGTTCGTCACTTCAAGTCCCGCAGCTTAGGTTATCGGTTTTCATCATTGAACAACAGGTGTTTAGCAAGAAACCACAGCGCAGAAGAATATGAGAAAACAAGTCGGAATCTAGAACTTGCCTGCCAACCCCCGTTAGGCTCGGCGCAGATATGACCCACGATGCTATTAGCCCCGAAAACGGGCTGCTTCACGTCCACCTCCTTCATGTATACGAAAGGCATGCTCAGCGACAAAAGTCCAGATGATGCGTTTTTATTGATGAAAATCACCTAAAAATAGTCCATCAGGCTTTATGAGGTAAACTTACGCGATGTGAAGTTAAATAAACTCTTCCCATGTGATTACCTTTCAAAGGGGGACCCAACTTCAGATCACAACCATCATAAAATATGAGCAACCTGAAGGATTCACAACAGAAATTAGCGGGACATTTACCTTTCTCCATAAAACAATAGAACGCTGCCAACGCCAGCTTGATGGCTTTGATTAAGAGACATGACTGAAATGGAGATTTTAGAGATGCGAAAAAGATAATTACGAGACTATAACTCAAACAGTCATTGATTATGTGATAGTTATTGTTGGCATTTCTATCTGAACAAATGATTTCGCTTGCTTAAATTGGAACACCACATAGTGCTCTGGATGATGCGACATCCAGAAAACAGTGCATAACGGGCATTACCAACGTCATGAATCCCGGTGACCGACTAGTCCCTATCGCACTCCATGTCAGCCGCACCGATCTCGGATTTATCAGCTTTTAACCTAGTTTGGCACCAAAGATCAACATGTTTGGGCTCTCTCCGGTTGTCTTATTGGGATCATCAAGTCTGCCCAATCAGAAGACAATCTCTGATTGAAGTGATCATCATCACCATCATTGTACAATGTTATACAGTGAAGCGAACTTCACTGATCGCTGCCAAGCTCATGATGCATACACGGTAAATGACAATATGTAACAACAGAGATGGGGTCCATTTTTGGGGACGGGAAAAGAAAACTCTATGGTCAACACACAGAGAGTGCAGTCGAACTGTGAATATACACCATTTGAAGTATTCTGCTCTGATAAGAGGTGACAGCAGGATTGCCGCTGCTTCAGTGTATCAAACCATATAGTTACGGAGTCTTTTGAACTCAAACCGAGAGACACCTACTCTACCTAATCGCCCTGTGCATTTCTTCGTGCCACGTCTCCACGTGGCTTTACCCAGTCTGCAACAGTCGCTGTAAATAAGGTGAGTTGCGGTAGGCGACCGTCGGACATAAGCAAAAGGTGCCCTATTGAGCAGAATTCGATGCGATAGCGAGTTGTCGATCGATGCATTCCCAAACACCTGACGGATGACTTACCGACCCGCTCACTTCATTCCATTTGGGTCAGACTACGTAAGCATCGATTGTTGAAAACTGCTGAACGACCGATATCTTCCACCCAAAAATTCAAGGTCTCGCAATCTTAAAGCAGAACTGATCGCACAATGGCGCAGTATACGCGACTTTTCAAATTGAGTAAAACGTCACGTGGTCGCCAAAGGTGTTTAAGTCCGGCGTACGATGCTTGAGCCTTGGAAATGCGATGTGCTACCGTCGTTGGTTGCGCAACTACCCAAGTGCGAGAAGCAGTCCACTTGAGTTAATTCCTGACAGAGGATTATTCGTAGCTCTTTCTTGAGAATATTGGCGTTCCTTATCATTTCGTATTTCCTCTCGCGCTTTGTTCCGTTAATTAACGTATATAACACCAAAATATCTCGTCTGAAATAGTTGAGGCTCCGTGGGCAGTTCAGCTTATTTCAGTTTGTACCACCATTATTCATGCGCTATCGTGCAGCGGTTTTGGTTGCTGTCTTTTGAATACCCATTTAGATGAAGAATAAAAGACAGGAAGGTTGAAAGCACAGTCTAGCAGAAAATGGAGAACTTCAGTGGTCTCAGGTTGCAAATAAATTGAGAAGATGCACGAACGCCACTGTTTACGACACCCAGCCATATCGCTCAGTGTCTCTAACCATCGGTTACGATTATCCCGGGGTCCCCAGCCAGAGAGCCTAACGCGACCTATGTGACCCAGTCCCCTGGTCAGGGTTTTCATACCCTCGAGCCAGATCTTAGCTTGACCACCCTTGGCTTTGTTCCACCCACTACCTGCCTCGGAGAACATTGCTCGCCATGGCAACCTATCTGGTTGCATGCGTAACACATGTCCCAGCCAACGTAATATATGGAGGTTGACCACTTGCTCCAGTGGGCAACCGCGGTTACCGAAAACTCTGCGTCTAACCTCAGCATTGCTCGTCCAGCTGCCTCACCAGATTCGTGCAATGCTTTGTAGACAGTCTATTTTTGTCCTGTTTCTTTGATGGTCAAGTCTCTGCACCGTATAGCAGAACTGGCCAAACTGCTGCAGCATACATTCGATCCTTAAAAGACAGCCGGATGTCGCGACGGCGCCACAAATGTTTCAAGTTAGCGAATGCCAACCGAGCCTACTGTATGCGAGCTGACACTTCATCCGTGATGCGTCCACCGGGTGAGGTGTAGCTGCCCAAATAAAACTTATCCACCTGTTCTATTACTTCCCCAGTTAAAGTGAGGCTGGGTGCTGGACCAACCCAGTCTTGTAGTAGTACTTTACACTTTTAAGGTGCAAAACGCATACCAAACATGGCCAGGCTGGCGCTCAGGCTATCCAGAAAAGCTTGCAACTTACCTGCATCTTAGCTTAGCAGCACAATGTTTGCATACTCTAGATCGGACAGTTTGCCACCTAGAAGTAAATCGATGCCGCTATCGTTGCACGAGCATAGGGCTGTTTCCATGATCAAATTTATAACAAAGTTGAATACAAAAGAAGAGAAAGGGAACCTTGACGAACACCACTTTCTGTGGTGAACTCGGGCGAAAAAGTGTCGCAAGCCCGGTCTCGACTTAGGCTATTGGTAAAAAGCGTGAGCGCTGTCATGTGAACCTCCTACTGAAGCAGAAATGCGACCTGGCGTTCGAGTCCTGAAGAAAGGAAAATAGCAGAACCTGACGGGTTTCCTCCCACTCTTTTCAAGTTGGAGGACGATGACCTTGTAAACTCCATTTATGATTTAATGCGCAACATCTGTCCGAGAGAGTGTATGTCATCATCCCGGAGCGAATCACCAAAGTGTAAGTGTCCATCATACTCCGAAGTCTGACACCATTTAGGGAGACAGATATCCGCAAACAACAAGCAAGATTCGAACCAAGTCGTAATTGTATCCATCAAATCTGGAAGCTCCGTCAAGTCCTCGAAATAAGCAAGCAACACTGTCGGACACTGGTTGTCGTGTTCCTTGACCTAAAAGGAGCATTGAACTCAGCTGACTGCGAACCCCTGATGTGTTTGCTCCTTTGCAACGGAAAACCGCAGAAGTATGTGAACATAGTGAAGTCACTCGACTCGCATACTTCTAGTAGTGTAAGGGTCTAAGGCGAGTAGGTAGTCCGTAACTAGCAGCGGTGTTTGTCAAGGTGCCTTATTTCGCCATTCCTGTTTAATTTTGTCATGGACGAAATACTGGAGAACTGCGATTTGTGACTTTGATAGACATTGGATCTTTATACCACGGTATTACTGTTTAATGATAACGTAGACTTTTATCTTTGTATTGCAGCCGATGTACCTACATTGTTAGAAGATTAGAGCCCCGTTTCCGGCTCTCCGTTTTTTCTCTCGTTTATCACTCAATCATTCGAGCTCATCACACGCACTAAATGGTTTCTACAATGTAGGTATTGAACGGACAGCTGGAAAAAACTGTGGGATGTAGAGTACAGTCACATTGTTCGTAGATCTAGTATACAAGCTTATATCCAGCCATTTCAAGTGACTATCCCTAAGTGTCGCATTTCTAACTTCTATTCACCTATTTCCAAGAGTGGCACAACTGTGGAGCACTCTCTCCCTTTCAGTTTTCCCTCAAACTTACTAAACAAAATCAACGAGCTAGTTCTAGTTTGAATGCCCTTTACCCATCCATGTTTTATCATACTTGTGTGATGAACGGCAGACGGGAAATCAAGAAGACTTCCTGTTCAGTCATGCAAACTGGCAAGCTACGAGACCTGTAGTGGTGAACCATATCAGGCCCCCCTAGGCTAGACGTCGTATTTAACCGGAAGACAGCGAAACTGCCTACCACCAGCACAGCATATCCTTGTATAATGGGGTTTACTCCTCTTACTACATTTACTATTGTGTCATAAAAATAGTGACCTCATGATCGCTATGATTTGCGCTTAACTGGCATCGTAGTAGTCGTCGGCGACATTATCGCTCAAGTAGGCTCACTTTACTTTACTACGGCTAGCTCCTTGGAAAAGATAAGCCGGCTCCATGAAATAATAATGAAGGTACTTGGGAGTTCGGCACGAGAAACGTCCCCAGCGTCACTCGGCATGTTTTATTTTGAGGGCGCACCTCTAGTCTTTGCACAACCAAGCGCGAACTGCAGGGCAGCAGGAAGTAATCCCCCGCCTCGGAAGTGAGGGGGTCAATGACTTTAGTTTTAGAAGGCCAGTCACATCGACCTTTGTCACGACAGTGTCATTGGGTTTATGTGGCTTTTAGACAGGAGCCAGGTGACCAGCCTGAAACCCGCCACACCCTGATAATGCCGCCGCTGTTTGTTCGCGACTGCTTATTTGTTGCGGTATACCACAACTTATTCACAGCTAACCTTCGGTGAAGGTATCCCCGTATCCACAATCCGGGGAGGCGCCAGGTAGCATTCAGCTCTGCTTTACCCGAGGGTATCCAGAACTAACAGGACAAGTCAGAAGCGCGTGTAGTCAGTTCAGTTGCAATTCAAGACAACTAGAAGGACAAGTGAGACCGACTCCTACAACTTAGAGCTCAGCCTTCGAAGACCACTCTATGGTTGGGGGTGGGTATCTCGGGACACTTTTGGCCACCTAAACGTAGCATGTTGCGTCAGTTGAGGACGCTCTACTCTATGGTTTTATGTGACGAGTGTTTTTCAAACGAAGTGAAAGAAAAAGCCAACACCCGGTCGATGAATTACGGCAGTTAACCTATGGAATTGGCACAAAACCTGATTCTAAATAACCAAGAAGAGACGTACGAATCACACCTATATCTTTTGTTTGTGGTTAGGGTCGACGGCTCGATTGGACGTCGGTGTATTGGGTGTTTCAGCTCAGGGCGTATGATCTAATTTGCCTCCATTAGGTACGCAGACGGCCTTTGCAAGTTTGTTCGCAACTTAGATACCTGCATCTTTCAGTTCTCATTTACTCACGAAATATGCAACGTTTCTTCTAGCAAAAATATGAATCCAGGATCCCCCCTAAAGCCAATCATCATCATCATCGTACAGCGAGATACAATGAAGCGAACTTCACCGATCGCTGCCAAGCACACAACGTATACAAATCAAGTGATAAAGCAAGAGATGGGAAGGATAGGGCCTAATTGAAGGTAGGCAAAGAAAGTGAA